TTGGTACAGTCCAGTGTGTGTTAGCTGGTTATTAAAGTCATTACAGTTTGTCCAAGTGTGATTGTCACTGTCCAAAACTTGACGGAGCTCTTTATAGAGGAAGAACCAGTAGTCAAAGGGGAATAGTCCCGTTGATGCCATTGATAACCAACAATTTCCAACTAACACCAATTCTGTGCCACTGCTGCTTCAGCTGTCGTCAGATTGCTGCTACTTCAGATACTTCAAATGCATCCTGTATATCAAGAGTTATTTTGCCTTGAGTGGTGTCATCTTGACACAGTCCTTGTCTCAAGATATCGCAGTGAATATTTCCTGTCCTTTGCCTCTGCTCCACAGGCAGCTTCCTACAGAAGAGTGCCAGGCTCTTCTTCCGCCGGCGTCACCAGCGCAAGGACCCGGGGATGAGCCAGTCGCACAATGACCTGGTTTACCTGGAGTCTCCGGCCGCAGTGGAGCGGGCCAGCCGAACAGCCACGCTTAGCCGCATGCTCAACCGCAAGAGTAGGAATAAGAGCAAAGCCAATGGCTCTACCTCCATGGGGGAGCCACATGCGTGACCCCCCTCCTCTCCTCCTCTTCTCCTCACCTCAGTCCCTCCTACAACAACTACCATCACCATCTCCACCTCAAACTTGCACTGGCAAACTTCCTGGCTAACTTACTCCCCCTAATGCCCGACCTACATACTGGGGCTCCTGCATTGTGAATGGGAAAGCTGTGCAGATGGAAAAATATCCTCTCATACTGCCGTTTCCTGCTTCCTTCGAGAAGCAGACACTTCACCGAAAGCAAGTGTGTGCATGTGTGAATGAGGGTCTCCTGTCTGGGGATTAATGGCATTTAAGAGGATATTATTTTGCATGTTTCTTTCATCTAATTTTATGCAACATTTTTGAATTCTTTAAGTGCTTTCGTGGCCTTGTTACAGACAGAAGGGACTGGTGTGGACTGTCACGCTTTACCTCGCTGTCGCCGAGGACGAAGAGCAAACTCTCCCTGCTGTAATCCGTACATTTCCTACGGTGGAACAACAGGACCAAAGATGAAGAGAAGAGTGGTGTTTGTATGATTTGCACAGTTTTAGTATCTTTATTTAAAGTGCAATGACAGGAGCTGCTCTTGTGATAGAGATTCTTGTTGAAAACATTAGCAAAGGGAGATCTTTTCGCTGCAGGGGATATACGAATAATACGACTACTTCTTGACACTAATACTATGAAATATGGTATTTATATCGACTCATTTAAAAATCCTTGTAGTTTTAATCAACATAAAAGAAGACCAGAACAGCAGCTGTATGTCATGTACATATAAAAGCTGTAAAACAAAGCTATTTACAAAAATGTAATGCGACAGCAGCCATTAACACAAGTTATCACCCCTCCAAAAGGAATAAAAGAAGCAGTGACACGGTGGCTAACATGAAACTTTAGCTTTCAAATGATATGCAATTCTTCTTTGTCTTCCTAAAAAAGATTCTTCCTGTACACTACTGTTATCAGCAGGGTTGTTAATGTGTCAAAAGGGAACTGAACGAACCTCAAGCCAGGGACTGTGACGTTACACTCGGCCATACTCGTTGCATTAACAAAACCTGTTTCATTTGAACGAAATCCTCGTTCTTTTATCGGATGTTTTATCGTTTTTAAAAAGATGTAGCTTTGAACTCATGAACAAGAGAACGTGTGAACACCTTTGGGAGCAACCAAACAGATTGGCTGCTTTATTTTTATTTTTTTTATCCAGCTAATGATTGTATTTCCTTTTTGTGAGCAGCTTGTTGAAGACGTCTCTGTACATCATGTTAACTACTGTTTCTTCAATAAGTTATGGACGCAGCTGTGACAGACAGACTAACAGATTGCCTTACAGTTATTCTGAGGATGACGTCACTGGTGGGGTGGACTCCACTCTACGTGGCTTTTTTTTGGGGGGGGGGGGGGGGTTCCGGAGGCTGCGTTCGCCATCACACCAGAGGACTGTGGCGAACTGTTGGAAGTGGCTCTAAGAGACAAGGGTACCACCGTGTTCCTGCACCATAAGCAGTGTCTATAATCAAGAAGCCTATGCACATAACATATTTGTTAACTGGGTGTTTACATTATTAGACTATCTGAGAATTAAAAACACTCACATGCTGTTCATGACACTGTCCCGCAGATGCTATGTGGGTTGTCTTTGTGTCTTGGTATTTACAGTACAAAGTAGATTTGTCATCATTGACTGCAGTATGTTTTGAAACTGGTGAAAATTTGAAAACCTTTCAGGCAGAATCACCTTTAAACTCTGAGGAAGGGAGCGGGCAACGAGCCCTTGCTTATGGCAGCATTGGCTACTGTTAGCATTCAGTAAGCAGTTAAGGCTGTATGTGATTAATAAACTGCTTCCTGATGTTTTTTTATTGGCATCTGCTCTGTGCACAGAAACGGACTGACTGCGCTGTCGATGCAGAGAGTCAGTCATTTCCCCTGCAGGGATTGTAACTAATATACATATCGAGTTATTTCATTTTCAGCAATAAATATTGATTGAATAACGGAGATTGTGGTGCCACTTTGAATGTCCAGGCTGCGGTGAATTTTGTCCCAGTGCTCCTGTAGCTTGTTACATGCACATGCTGATAATGATGATCCACTTGTGTTAGTTTACAGAGGCTCATTTTTATTTTGCAGATAATTTTGCATACAAGACATTTAAAGTTCAAGCACATGATGCTCTGTTTTAGTCATTTTAGTCTTGAATCAAGTCTTTCGAGGTACATTTTTTCTTTTATTCTGCCAGTGTAGGAAAATGTTCACCTGTTTTCAATTAAGATTAAAAAAAAAAAAAAGGAATTAAAAAAGAAATTCCAAAGCAACGTTTTCATAATTCTAGTGCTGCAAGGGGATTTGTTTTCTCTTGCGTCATGATACAGACACTCGTTTGATCATTTTAAACAAGCTTATTTAAATGGAAACAGGTGGAGGTTATTTTACTGCACTGGAAAAAATGTAACAAACATATAAATGTAAGACTCAATTTCAGTTACTAAAAGGTTAAAGAGTAGTTCAAAGCAGCTCTGACACATCCAGCTACTACAAAAATACTGTTCACATGTTAATCCATGAGTTATAAGCGGAGTTGGGACCAGGTCATTGTTTTGCAAGTCACAAGTAAGTCTTGAGTCTTTGGCCTCAAGTCCCAAAACCTAAATTTTGTCGTAATGTGCTCTTCACCAAATGTAATGCCATTCTAACAACAGAATAATTACATATTTATAAAGTCACAAATGCGTTCTAAAAATTTTATTTATTTGTTAAAACAAATCGTGGTGAAGAGGGAGCTGAGCTGGAAGGCAATTTCGATTTACTGGTTCATCTACGTCCCAACCCTCACCTATGGTCATGAGCTCTGGGTAGTGACCGAAAGAATGAGGTTGTGGATACAAGCAGACGAAATGAGTTTCTTCCGTATGTTGTCTGGGCTCAGCCTTAGAGATAGGGTCAGGAGCTCGGAGTAGAGCCACTGCTCCTTGGCATCAAAGGGGGTCAGTTGAGGTGGTTCGGGCATTTGATCAGGATCCTCCATGGCACCTTCCGTTCGAGGTGTTCCAGGCACATCCAACTGGTAGGAGGCCCCGGGGCAGACCCAGAACATGCTGGAGGGGATTACATATCTCATCTGGCCTGGAGACACCTCAAGGTCCCCCAGGAGGAGCTGGAAGGCGTTGCTGGGAAGAGGGACGTCTGGAATACCTTGCTCGGCCTGCTGCCATCACGACCCGGCTTCAGATAAGTGGTTGAAAATGGATGGATGTTGTCTCCATCTGTAATTTGCATCCACTCATTTTCATTCTCTGTTTGGTTGACCACCTGTAGTTGTTGTTGTCAACAAATTAAGTTACTTTTGGTGTCATTTTTTCAAACTGGCGCTTAGTGACATCACATTTGTTCATCATGGTTCTCTCCTACCTCTGATTGGAGGCTGTTGACTTGGTTCAAACAAAGTGGATCAGTGGGGGAGTTGGGTGTCGACTCTGGGAATGGATAAACGTCAGGCTACTTGAGTTGTGAAATTACGGGAGATGAATTGATTCATGGCAGACTTTAAGTAATTTACTTGCTAATCTTAGTTGGGGCAACCTTTCAAGAACTTTCAAGTCAAAATCAATCAATCAAACTTTATTTATATTTGTATAGCAGTTTTTCTACAAACAGAATGCAAAAACTCAGAATAAAAAGCAATTTAAATCCGTCAATAAATAAGTGAATAAATAAGTAACAAAAAAATACAGATTAATACAAATAAATAAATAAATACACAATAATCCTAAATACAAAATTAAAAATTAAATAAAATAAATAAATAAAGGCTTGAGTACAAATGAAGTCATGAATCATTGGTGTTTAAGTCTCAGTCGAGATGCAAGTCTTGACTGATTTTGTCAAGTCAAGTCTAAAATCATCAGATTTGTGATTCAAGTCTTACTCGAGGCCAAATCACGTGACTCGAGCTCACACCTCTGGTTACAATAATCCTATAAAACAGATTTCTCCTCAGTCATTAGTTCATGTTCTTGTTTATTACAAACTTGACATGTTTGTAAATCTCTTGTGGTCCATTCAGAATAGACCCACAACCCACTTTTGGACTGCGACCCACCAGTTGGGAACCACTGCTATAAAATATATACCACCATGAAAGGGGCATTTAAGTATAATGACTAATTTTACTTTTGTTAATTCAAGTAAATTTATTTTTTTACTTCTGTACTTTAACTTAAAAGTAAAATTATGAGTATTTTTGTGAGGTATTTTTATTTAAATGATTTTATTATACCATGTAAGGATTTGTGGTGATTAATAAGGAAAAATACAAACATTAAACAGTACTTTCCCCTATCTTTTGTGTAATAAACCACAATACAACCTTTAATTGCCTAACAATGCTTGTTCGAGCTGCTTTACCGCCTTTGCTGAAAACCCTACATTCCCCATAATGCACCCTGCGCGGTTCGTTTCCGGTCCTGCGCCGTTTCTGGAGCGGATTGGAACCCGGAGTCAGGATTCGCTAAATGAAGGGTCTTTTGCAGAAAAGGTAACGTGTTTCCCCATAAATATACATCGTGTTTCTACAAAATGGCGACGCAGTTTTGTAGTGAAGGTGCAGCTGGTGTGTCCGGTTCGCTCTGGGTCTTCTTATGCTGCCTCAACCGCCGACTGCCTGGCGTTGAAGAGCATCGACTCCGGTTTGGTGGTTTGCGTCTCCGGTCCATCCGCCATGCCGACTGTTCTTTGTTACATTTTACTGAAGAGGAGCCGCTCAGATCGGAGTTAAAACCCGGCTGGAGTTTGGGAACGACTCAAATCCTGGATCCCATCTCCTGTCCGGACTGCATACGTTAATAAGCATGCTCCAACTGTATCTTTGAAACCGAAAACTCTTAACGTTGTCATGATACTCTGCTGTTGAGCTGGGGGGTCGGATGCATTCACTACAGCTGAAGTGTCCCGCGTTAAATGTGTACATGCAGGCTTGGAAGTTCACTCTAACACACTTTCAAAGTAGTTCCTTCTTATACATATATATTTATCTGACATGATCTGTGAGACTTGATCAGCTCCCTCCTGTCCTGCTCCTTGTCTCACATGAATGATATAATATGTTCTGCTGTTTATAGGTTGGCATAATGGCTGAGCCAGATGAGTTCATCTGTGAGTATGAATCCAGCTCTCACTGTATTGATAAAGCCTGACACACACTGGGTTGTGGGTGACAGGTGTGATGATGTGTGTCGCAGGGTGTGAGGACTGTGGCCAGTACCATGACTCCGAGTGTCCTGAGCTGGGACCGCTGGTGACCGTCCAGGACTCCTTCGTCCTCAGCCGGGCCCGGTGAGTGACCACTCAAAGGGTCTTGACTTCACCCACTCCAGTTGGACTAATTATTTGATCCATCAATTGAACTTAAAGGAATACTTCACCCCCAAAATGATCAGTAGTTATACTAGTTACTCACCCTGTGTTATGTTGAATTAGTGAAGAAAAGTTTGTTTCTCTAACATGCCCCTGTGGTGAACGAGGAATCTAAACACTGAGAAAATTCTTGATGAATTGAAGTCATTGGGGTCCATGTGTAACAACAGCAAAACCATATCAAAACATCAGTTTACAATCTTACAAACACTAAAACCTAAGTATTGAAAACTGAACACTAAATCCCTCTTCCCACTGAGCAGTCCAGTGTTGTGTAGGTTAGTTTGGAACGCATTTTTTGTTTTCACTGTGAAAGTTGTGGATGGTACCAATGGAACAGTTCCTAACCGTCCCCATTTTTGGCCCCCCCTCCCTCTGTTGGGGTACCTAGCACACAGATCTGGTACTAAAAGGTTGAGCTGTGAACACTGCAGTCTGATTGGTCAGTAGAGGACGGTCACTCTGCTCAGGGCTGAGTTGTGTCTGGTTTTGAGGCTCATGTAACCACTGTTCATACTGTGGAGAGTTTTATTAGTAAACTGTAATTATAAAATAAAAAGATGTTTTGCTGCCTCTTGCAGCAGCTGGAGTCTGAGGAAAAATAACTTTATTCACTGGGCCGACAGTCGGCAGCTCTTAAGGTGGAATGTTAACTTGTAATGTTACTCAATGCATGACGACATGAATCCATCAACACACCTTAAATTTCACTGTGACAACTTTGACCGTTCCATTAGTTTTTATTGTCTCCCTTGGATGTCATGACACTTTAAGTAATGAGTGGATCTTCAAATGTTTAACAATGAATTTCGACCAGATTATATGAACTGCATATATTTGAACCCCTTGGAGAAAAAAAACATGTGCCAGCTGAGCTTGCCTGAGAAGGACTAAATGCACAAACCTGCTATTTTTTAATATCCCATGGAGAGAGACTCACTGCAGCCTGTTTTATTTTGTTCTGAAAATGTCAACATGCAGCCTCGCTCTGTGGACGATAAACAAGGTGCAGGCTTCCCTCTGTTTCACCGATGTTGAGGAAATACAGTGAGAGCTGGACGGAGCAGAGTGACAACAACCCCACCCACATTTAAGGGTACTGACCCTAGATCTGTTTAGTGTTTCCACCACAAACAGTACTCCTAAATGTGGGCAGGGTTGTTGACACTCTCTGCTCCGTCCAGCACTCACTGCATTTCCTCCTCTATCAGTCTGCACCTTGTTTATCGTCCACAGAACGAAGTTGCTCACCAACATTTTCAGAACAAAATAGAACAGGCAAGAAGTAGTTTCTCTCCACGGGATATTTAAAAATAGCAGGTTTGCACATTTAGTCCTTCTCAGGCAAGCTCAGGGGTTTAGTGTTACCAGAGCCCACAGGAAGGACGCTTTCCTCCAAATGAGGATTAGAATATATGCAGTTCACATAATCCGGTCGAATTTAATTACACTACTTAATAACACTTGAAGATCCACTCATTACTAAAAGCGAATGTCACCCAAGAGAGACAATAAAAACTAATGGAATGGTCAAAGTTGTCACATTGAAATTTAAGGTGTGTTGATGGATTCACGTCACCAACTCATGCATTGAGTAACATTCCACCTTAAAAGTTGCCAGCAGTCGGCCCAGTGAATTAAGTTATTTTTTCTCAGACAACAGCTGCTGCAAGAGGCAGCAAAACCTGCTTTATTTTATGGTTACAGTTGACTAATATATGTAAAACATCTCCACAGTATGAACAGTGGTTACATGAGCCTCAAAACCAGCCACAACTCAGCCCTGAGCAGAGTGACCGTCCTCTATTGACCAATCAACAGACTGCAGTGTTCACAGCTCCACCAGATCTGTGTGCTAGGTACCCCAACAGAGGGGGGACCAAAATGGTGGAAACTGGGCTAAAGAGAAAAAAATAAGTAA